CCAGTCCTAAAAAGATGGAAATTCGGAAATGTGACCTCATTTACTTGCTTATAGCTTGGGGAGAAGTTGGAGCACCATTTTGACTTCTTTAAATAAAAGAAGACATATTTCACAAAGGATAGGTGGAAATAATCTTGCAAAGCGCTAAAGCTAATGCTGGGTTTTTAAGAATTTGAGACCATATTATGCATTTGAAGACAGCCTATTATTAATCAAAAAAGCAATGTATTGTAATGGTTGGCTTATTTGTTTAACTCTATTTCGGCTTTGGGAACACTTTAGGGTTCCCCTTCTGTACACTTACTGGGCGGCATGGCCTTTGGGCCACACCATTATTCCCCATCCTTTCCTTAAGTCGGCATCGTATATTCTGCCTGAGTATTCTAACTTCTTTCGACTTATGCGAAGTCTCGGGGAGCTGCATTGGAGGCAAAGAAAAGTGAATCCACTCATAGAGGTCAACCACCCTTATTTCCATTCCAGAATGCTAAACCTTGACGTGGTGAAAAGGAGAGAACATACTGCGGAGGGGGGAAATCTGTGATAACCTCTAATAGAAGAGTCTACCCTCGGCAACTACCCAAATTCCACGTCCTGCAGGAATGCTATTAGCACTTGAACCGACGTTAACCACGAACCATCCAAAAAAATCTGTCACAGTGATGTCTACGGTACCTGTATAAATACATCAATTGTATCAACACGCAATATCTTTTCCACCCCTCTACAAGCTAACCAAAACTCCGACTAGCCATAGACATACTAGATAGCCAGCACATTCCCGCTTTGTCGAATGCAGTTCCCACAAAGTATAAAACTCCAGATCCAGTGGAATAGCCAAGAGATATCAGTGACATTAAGGACAGATATCTACCAATTTGTACGCCAATTCGAAGACCGGTGCTGTCAGATGGTAGATTTTTCTCCCGCAGCGCCAATAACGTTGTGCTGGCCAACACAAGGCGTTGACCGGAGAGATCGCTGGGGACGAAGCACAAAATGGAATGGGGATAAGCAACACTCTTTTGTTAAAGTCTTCATTTTGGTTTTACGTCTTTGCAAGTGTGTATTTCTGTTGAACGGTATGGCCTTGGAGTCACACAAGTAGCCTTTCAGCCCTATTGTATTTTGGTAATATGTATTCTGGCCTAGTGCCGTGTCTCCTCTCGTCTTCGGGTAAATTCCGAGGTACTACAGCAATATCATCAGGTTCGGTGAGTATAACTTTTGTCTTAATGATGGAAAAATACCACTAGATGAAGCAGACAGTCGCTGCGTACTACCTCAATACAAATGTTAAATGGCATAATACTTTTAGCATCCCAATTCCTTTGTTTTCTGGGCACCCAAGTAGGTTACCTTAATGACAGACTTGGTAGTCAATGGGTAATAATGCACCCAGGATAATGGAATCGTGGAAAGTTTTGGACCGTAAAAGTTGTCTGAGAAGGGAAAGGTTCTCAAAAATCCTATCAAGATCTTCCTTGAATAACGATTTTGACTTAAAGCTTGACAACAACCTTGAAAATATGGATGTTGACTGTAAGATCATGATTATACTATTGGTATTATTGGGCTATTTTATATGTTTGAAACTGTAGACAATACTCCAGGCTTGATTAGGTAGAGGTTTTTAGACGTGGAAAAAGGCACTTCTTTTTAAATTCATTCAACTGCCCAACTTTGATAGATAAGGGCGTTATGCCTTTTGCCGACCTAAGGCATGCCTGAACAATATCCAGTACAAAAGATTCTGCCCACGATTCGTAACTGATCCTTAGGTAAGGAAGGAAGGATTTTTTACTTTTGAACAACTGTATCACCTGATAGCTGCAGAGTGTAAAGACCGGTGTTCCACATGGACAGGAAACTTAAATTTACACCTTACATGGAAAAACATACTACTCTGGTGGAACTACGCGTAGATGTAAGTAACAGGCGTGTCCTGTTGCTAAGGGGTAAACCGGTTCAAACCACTTGAATCAAGGTGGCAAGCAACAGTGCCAAAGTCTTCCCATCTGCGTGAATACATCAGCGTATGGTACAGAACAGCTTTTCAGTCTACAAAAGCCTCAACTCAAAATCCTCAGATAGCCGTTCATATCTAAAAAGGACTTTAAACACCATGAAGGTGAGCTCGACTACACTGCAAGGGGAGGGTTGAGCAGTGCCTGCATCTTGATTGAGTGACTGCCCTTAATGAAGTTCCCAGTGGTGGTGTTTCTTCTTCCAAGTTGCAACCCTCACAGACATTCCTCTAAACATTCAGCCACTGAGTGAAATCTCTGTCTGATCCTGGAAGCTCCACCGACACATAAATACCTGTAGTGAAATGAGAAAAGTGGTTCCGTGGGAATGGGAAACAGTTGTCCTTTGGTAGTTCGGCTGGCCTGACAAATCTTCCTACCCAGGTAGTGGGAAAATACTTTAGAAAATGGACTATTGGCTCTTCCTGAAGGATATACTTCTCAACTTTTGCTTCTAGTTTGATCTTAGTCTGCCTTGGCCTTGGCGATGCTTTCTTGCCTCCTTTGTGAATCAGACCGCCGTATCTACTCGGAAAGGGCAGAGCAGTTACAAGGTGAATCAGACAGAAAAATGACTCAATTATCACACATTCCGTGGGTGGACTTTTTGAAGCCTGCGAGCAAGAACTGAAATATCCTCGTCTACTGGGCAGTAGAAAAATCCTGCAGTCGGTAAAGCAAGGCAAACAGAGCTAAGATGAGGTGGGGAAGGAGAAAACGAAGAAGCCCATTTTTTTATTCCCAAAAAAACAACGTAATGGTTGTTACTGATGCTTACGCTGACAAGTAGGGCATTTTGCTAGAACCCACCGATAAGACACAGCCATCGGAAGATGGCACACATTGAAAGCAGGTCTTTTAGTAGAAGAGTCTTTATCGTTTACCGGAAGGATGCATTCTAATTTTTAATTTAAAACCTCATGTCTTGATCAATTTAATGTCTAAATGATCTTTTAGAAGACATAGTACCTTCATTGAAGGAAAGAATGAAATGTTCAGAACTTCCAGCATAATACCACAATCAGTAAAATCCTTCGTCGACTACGTCACACATATGTGACGCAAGAACGTTTTGGATTATCGGTAAGTGGCTGAATTAAATCGTGTGGTCAGCAGATTAGAAGGATTTAAAGTCATCAGCTGGAAGCATACTCTCTTCTATTTAGGGGTTCCAATTTTATTTGACAATATCAGAACAGTGCATCATCTGGGCGGCAGTGGTGGGTTGTTGCCAGAGCGTTACCCTATTAGTGTAAGTACTAAAAAAGAAACCGGTATGGTCGTTAAATATAAAGTGACTGATGAGTACTTTGTCCTTCTAAGCCAGTTATTGTGAGTCCACTTTGGTAATACCTAACTGTGTTGACCCACTTCAATTATCATTCACTCTAAATAGTAAAAGGACAATGCGCGCGATCTTCCATTGACTCTTTGATGATAATCTACTCGTCTTTGTTGTTCGACCTAATGAAACGCAAAAAAATTAAATAGTTAAGAATTATAAGTGGTTAGCACTTCTTCCTGGGAGGTTGCGCACTCGCTTGGAAGTGGAGATGGAACAACATTATTGAGGCATCTATTGAGATGTAAATGCCATGAAAACACTCTAAGCTCCCCATCTCTTCATCAAAGTGTATAATGAAACTGTTGAATCTGCAACTTTATACTCTGTCACCTTAGTCACCCCTGAGGGTGTAATAAGACACGTTCGTCTTCAAATGAGTTTTTTTATTGACATAGAAGAGGGAATGGATGACTTTGGACAACGGGCGAGATGTCACTGCACCTAGATTGGTGCCTAAAATGCAAAACCACAGAAACTAACTTTAAGAATTTTTACCTGGAATCGTTCACAGCTCCTTCACTGACCAGGATGCCCACCTTAGATACTCCCCTTCTACAATTATCCGGCATGGTATTCGACTAACAAAAATAAGCTTACCTACTCTGCCATTCTACTATTCCGAAATTCTCATGTAAGGTAATCTAATCTGAAAGAGGAATTTGTAACTATTGTTTAGAATGGCCAAGGAATTAGGCTGTAATTTGCGAAGAGGCCGATGCCGAAGCTGGATTTTCAAAGGCCTAAAACAGCACTTCATAGTATTTTACCATAAATAACAAATGTGGTTTCGACTTTTATTTTGGTGAGTTGAAGTAACGTTAGGGACGATGAAGATTAAGAATTTAAGGGTTAACTGTAAAATTAATTTCGGGGAACTAACCAAAGTGCTGATGGGCCTCGTTTACTTCCTAAGCTATTACTGAATTCCATAAGGCACTAAGCGATAAGTGTGAGAGTGGCTAAGGAAGTGCTGAGGCCTAATTATTTTCTCTCAGCTTTTAACGGTTATATTGCCTTCTACCTTCTGTGAAGAGTATAACAGTTTCTGTCGGTGTTGAGTGGGAATGATACATCTAAGTAGGACGGAAGATAACTTCGAGGAAATTGCCAGAAAATGAAGACGTCTTACTAAAAAACCGATTGGCATAACGAAGTCTGTCCACTAAAGGCCATTATCCACTTTTTAGCAATTCCTACTAGGTAAACTCCTATGAGGCACTTCATGATTCGAAGGTTGAAATCGGACTTGCTAAAAGTCGCCAGATGAACGATTACAGTTGGGCATAAAAGACTTTTTGCTATATGGGAAAGCCCTTACGTGAACCCATTCACTTGACTACGTTAGGAATACTCAAGGTGGGTTGGTTGACACCACGAACCGCCAGAGGGAAATAGAATGTGGGGAAAGAAGTATTTGTAAACGCAATTTGTATATTTTTATGCAAGTGCCACAGCCAACTCCATATTGGACGATGCCTCTTTAATAGTAAAACCTCTCTTTTAGATCTCGAGGCTGGGGTGATAGATAAGAAATACAACATAGATTCCATATCTCTTCCCTAATGAGTCTACAATCCTGCAACCATTTGCAGGAGCCACCCTCTCTCTGTGATGCCATTTGGTAACCGGACAATAAAGATAAGATCCTGTCCTTTGAATTGGGTGTGCCCACTCC